TTGAAGAAATACATAATAACCCAACAATAACCCAAGAATAACCTAAAAAAAATCCTTCTTATCTGCATATCTGACTATCTCTGTGGTATAATTCAAATTTGTAGTTATCTGAGTCAGGAAATGATTGTAATGATTCAATTGTTCATAGTTTTCTTAATACTATTGTTCATAATGAGGTAGAGGCTTACGAACACTATTGCGTTTATGCACATCATGTTGGTTTCACTGTTCGCAAGGACCACAGCAGTTACTGGGCTAAATTCAGGCAAATTAAGTCGAAGGATTATATTTGTGGAAAAGCAGGTCATAAGAGAGAATCACAGGTTGTCAATACGGTGAAATACAGAAAAACGGAAACAAGGACTGGGCGTCAAGCAATGGTTCGCTATGTTGTTGATGTTGATGGCACTGAACAATAAAGAAATTTGTCAAAAGTCATAACCTTTCCTTGGCGGAATCCGGTGACAAGCACCTTCTACATTCCAGTCGGAAGATTAGCGAGTTAGATGCAGATTTGCTGAGATCAATGATAGGTTCAAGGATTAGAGCAGCGGATGCATTTAATTTCCTTGCTCAGAGGTTGGAGGAGTTAAAAACTTGGAGTGTACGAGGCATGATGCCTACAACTTTATTCAAAGGGAAAGAAGAAGTAGAATTGAACAAGGTGATGCAAACACTCTCTTACAATTATTCATGGAGCGACAAACTGAGGATAACATGTTAGCGTGGGACCTTCAAAGTGATGAGAAGGGCAAACTTAGAAGTTTTTTCTAGAGTGGTGGGTCTTGCAGGCTTGATTAATTGCAGGCTTCATTATGATTGTTTTGGGGATGTCGTCATTTTCGACACTAGATACCGTTTGAATAAGTATAATTTATGTTATGCTAAGGATAATTTATGTTATGCTCCTTTTGTAGGGATTAACCACCATCGGCAAAACATTCTCTTCGGATTTGATTTTTTGTCTGACGAGACGATAGAATCCTTCAAGCGGTTATTTGAATAATGAATGATAAGCATCCAATTACAACTTTTACAAATCAAGATCAAGCGATGTCAAGTCATTGATGATTGTTGTCCACACACAAGATATAAATATGTCAATGACATATCTACAAGAAATTTTCATTGCAAGTTCATTGCGTTTTGGCGTACAAGAGCGTTAACAATCTATTTTACAAATGCATGAGAAAGTGTGAGGAAGTGTGATTTCGAAGAAGAGTTTGAAGGTATTGGGCTATAATGATTGAGCGAGGAAATCTACACAACAACGTGTGGCTAAATTCATTGTATCATATAAGACATAAATGGTCAACAACATTTAATAAAGAAATATTCAGAATGAGAATATTATCTACGCAGAGAAGTGAGTCCACAAATAATGTATGTCATGGTGCATCTAAGCTCACTAGTTGTTTTCTAGGGTCTTAAAAAAATATCAAATCTTAGAGAAGGAACGAGAAGGATGAAGACTTCAAAAGCTCTCAGAATGTTATTACACCAGTGGTTAAAACAAGTCCAGTGTTGAGGCAAGTTGCTACATATTACACCCGGAAGCTCTACTCCATATTTGATGAAGAGTTACTGCATGGGCTATGTGGATTAACAGTTGATTTCTCAGTTGATAGTTCATCTGAATTCTATGTTAAGAATTTGGATAATCGGGAGACGAGTAGAGTCTGGATTGTTACAATTGACAGGGTTAAATGCGAGATCACCTGCAATTGCAAGAAATTTGAAATGATGAGATTGTTTTGCGCTCACTCTCTAAGCGTTCTTAATGCGATAAATTTAACAAAGATTCCCGAGAAATATTTGTTATTGCGATAGTCTGCTAAGGCAAAAAAACATCTATAATAGTTTTGGATACAAACGTATGAAGGACTCTCAAATGTCCAGCCTCAAATATCCGGTAGAACTTTCAGTGGAATCTTATTTTGGTCACACACTCAGAAATTTGTCTACCAACTAATTAATAAAGCAGAAGAAAATGAACGCGCTGAGACATATGTTGGAATCATTAAAAACAATATTTGTAGATGTTGAGGATAAATTAGATAGGAAAGATCCTAAACCAAATAAAAAAACTAAAAAATGAAAATCACATAACAGAGAGTGCAATGTGAATAATCCCGCAAAAAATGAGACCTAAATGTATATCCAACGCGAGGTTGAAAGAATACTAGGAAAAAAACAAGAGAGCTAAGAGTATGTATACATTTCTTATATTTATTATTCTACGGAACATTAATTTTTTTTAACTTGAACCACTGTATGTAGGAAATGATCAAGAAGCATACACGAGCAAAGAACCGCAAATCCATTACGATGCAAATATGATTGCAGTGTCACAATCTCTAAGTCAGGTATGAAACCAAAATCTCACACTACTATTCTGGTTTTACATTAAAATATGGTCATTAACATTCTTTTCTATTTACAACAGAAAAATGTCACACCGGAGTCAACATACACCTCAATTCTAAATTCTGATGCATTTCATTAGTGAGATCTAAGCCAATTGAGACAAACACCTTCGATACTTGATTTGCAAGATGAAGACAATAGATTTATATGTAATATGATCATTTTTATTAACAGAACAATGAACGCTTACATTATGATTGTTTTGATATGTTTGTTATGTGTACTGTACTATATAAATTTGTGACGAATCCAATGTAATGAACCTAGCAATAATCGTATAGTAATCCTGTAATAGTACCTCGACAATAATCCAACAATAATCTGGCCAAAAACTCATCAATAACCTAACAATACCCTAATAATAAACCAGCAATAACCTGACAAAAAACCTAGGAAAAAACCCAATAATAACCCAGCAATAACGAAGCAATAACCCAGCAATAATCCAACAATAATCTGGTCATAACCCACAGTAATCCCTAATTAGAAAAGAAATAACCCAACAATAACTCATCTATAACCTAACAATTAGGGGAACATCACTTTGGCTATTTTTAGGTTATAACTGGGTTATTGATAGGTTATTTACCAATATACCGTCAATAACTTAACAAAACCCCAACAATAACCTAAAAATAACCTGAAAATAACATAATAATACCTGACAATTGTCTAGCAATACTCAAGCCCTAACCTAAGAACAACCTGAAAAATAACTTAGCTATACCACAGCGATAACCTAGGTTTTTTTCAGGTTATTTCAAGGGAATTTTTAGGTTATTATTAGGTTATTTTCAGGTTATTTCTATAGTATTTTCAAATTATTGCTAGGGAATTTTCAAGTTATTGCTAGGTTATTTTCAGGTTATTTCTATGGTATTTTCATATTATTGTCAGGGTATTTTCAGGTTATTTCTATGATATTTTCAAATTATTTCTATGGTATTTTTAGATTTTTGCTATGGTATTTTCAGATTATTGTCATGGTATTTTCAGATTATTACCAGTGTATTTTCAGCTTTATACATAAGTCCGTAAATACAAAATCATATACACTAATAATTTAGTGCAACAGAACAGATAATCATACAGACATTCACCAAATAATTCAATCATATTTATCATCCGAATAATTCAATCATTGACAAAATCAAATCAATCATATTTATCAACAGGTTACTATCAGCGTTTCAAACATATTTACAGAAAAGTACAGTTATAGAAACATCATCCAAACAATTTATATCTACATATTTCATATGCAAGTTTTGTCCTAAACCGAGGCATATCAGTCTGTCAGCTCTGTTAATCTTTCCAATCAGTTCTGCCTTTTTATACAATTATTTCCATATATTTACAAATAAAAATATCGCAGTCAATACTATTACTTTAAGTGGGAAGGCCTTTGGTCGTGGTAACATCCCATTTAGTCAGGTCATTGAGGAAAGCTTCCCCGACATCCTTAGAAAGATGTTTAATCTGGTAATAAAGATGATAGTTTAAATCATTGAAAGCATAAGCAAAGGAAAAAGTTGTTTACATAATAAATGAACTAAGGCTTAATTTGTTTATCACGTCGCGGGTGACTCTCAAATGCATTTTATTAGACAATAAATCGAAGAATCTCCGTTTGTTTTCCTTCTGATTCCCAACAAGTAGAGTTCAATGACCATTATTAATTATTGAAACTAAAACGACATTTGCTCGAGCTACAGCATCCATTGTTACAGGGGCAACAATAACTCGCATTGGATGGTTTCTGTACATCTGCATAGTTCCAATAAGTTTAAATGAGTTTATAAGTTTAATAAGAGCATGAATCGCTACCATTTATGGGATTGTCGATGCTTACCCAGTGTGTTGGAGAGATGTTTAAAAAGAATCTAAAACAATCGAGTGACTGACGCCTTCTATTTTTCAATCCAATGACAAACATATCAATATGTTCTGTCCCTTTCTTGATTATTCCAAAGTGATTCAATGCACATTCGACTTATATGAAAATGACTCATAGCAATTATTATGTCATATCTGCATTTTGATGAAATAATTTTTATTAGATTTAATACAGTACTGAGCAGTAGACAAAAAAAAGATTATAAGTTAACTTACCTAGCTTGATATTTTTTCAAGCAGGTATCTATGACTTTTTGCATGTGTGAGGGTATGAGTTCTCTACTAGGAAACTCTATGGCTGAGTAGTCCACAACTGAATGTGCTGCATAAACTACACCAGGGAGGGCACCTTCGAATACAACAATTGCCCCATGTTGTTCCTCCTGTTTTTCTTCAGCCACTTCTGTTATACTGATCTCCGCCTCCTGTTCCCCAGCTTCATCGATCTCAGGAGATGGTTGGGTAATCGGCAATTCTTCTTCTGTCATTATTAGTAATGTTTTCACTTTCTTTCTCTTTACTACAATGAATGGGGAAACTACTACCCTCTTTTTTCTAGTGTCTCTAGACTTAATCCTTCAGACTAAGCTATCAAGAGGGTCTTCATGGATGTCTTCCTTTCCATGTTCTCCGTCACCTTTATTTATTTGTTCCCCTATTTCAATATCAGCTGCAGCTCATCTAATGCAGTCATTATCCCCTATCGATTGTTCTTCCCCCGCTTCCTCCATATAAGCAGGTGGTTGTTCTTCCATTGCTGGGCTTTCTTTCTTCCCATCAATTTTAGAACCAACAGGAGATTCCATGTAAACTTTATTTAATCTTTTCTTTATTTCTTTGATGTCCGTCTTCACCTCCATCATTGTATACTATATTTTATCTAATCTGTTATTTACAAAATCTTTGAATTGAAATAAAAATTTTTGTTGCTCCCTGAGAATTTGACAGATCTCTACAAAACTTATATTGGTCCCTGAATATCTCACTGAATGCGTAGGTTGCGGGATGCTGCGACCCGGGACAAAAATGATAACAATGTCAGAATCTGATGTCAGTGGTTCAGTGTGAGTTTCAGGTTCTGGAATGGACTTTGCAGGAAAGGAGATCCAGTCAACTCGAGGGGCAAATAAACTGTGCTCGTCATCTCTTAAATCGACAAATGAATCAAGAACCTGCTCAGTAAAACAATAAATGATATAAATTACCAAACATAACCCTGAACTTATAACATAAATTAATATTATTCATTTGTACAGTAGTCAGCCTCTGAAAGACTAAATGGATCCTTGCAGGGTTCCAACCTGTATTTATTGGCCACCTCAACATGTGAGGTCTGGCGTCAAGAATAGTTAATAGCTAGGGTTATCACGACTGCGCTCATAAAACCACAGCTGCGGAAACAAAAATAAATCAGGAATTCATATTACCCAAATAATAAAAAAATAATTCTTGGCTAGGGTTGGATAATAGACTAATCGTTAGAATAAATACAAATCCGTTCAGGTATCTCAATGGCTGACCCATCATTATTTTGATGACGCAGGTATTAACTTGCTCAATGAGGTAATCACATACCGTTGCGACCCAATTAAATGAAGAAAATATATTTAAATTCTCAGCAAATGAATAGAGCCCCGTGGGTACACTAAACTTGCTGGTAGAAAAGAATAAATTAGACAATAAAAATTTAATAATAATTCATCAAGTGAAGTGGACGACTCTCCGAGTGACCCCTTCAGTAGTTCACTCTTTGCCTGTTTGGCATCCACACCACTGACGGGATTTTTTGTCCCAAGTTGCTGCAAGTCCTCTGTCGGGCATGTCAATCAAAAAAGCAACTTGGTCTACATCAAAACTGAGCTCCTTCCCCCCATTCTAAATGTCAATCTATCCATATCCCAACAATTCAATATGTGCATAGTTAGGATGTGATCTTGAAGATAGGGGGGAGTTCAAAAAACTGATTCAGCTTAAATTTTTCCAGAATTGACCATGTCTCCAAAGAGACAATTGGCCGAACCTTGTTCAACACTTCTCTAACTGTTGAAGGACGTCATCTGCAATTCATAGACTGTTTGTTCATCAACCTACAGGAATAGGATACATTTTATTAATACTGAAAATAACTCATCAATCAGTCAAGAAAAACAGAACAATAACCAACAACTGCATTGATATTCCCTAAATCAATAATAACCCAATATTAACTGATTAATAACGAAAGAATAACATGAGAATACATTTTTAACTAATCCTTGCTCCTTTCCTGCATACAGTGGTTCAAGTTAGAGAAAATTAATGTTACGTCGAATAATAAATATAAGGATAATAAATATGTTACGTCGAATAATAAATATAAGGAATGTAGAAATATATACTCTTAGCTCTCTTGTTTTTTCCCAGTATCATTTCAACCTCGCATTGGATATACCTTTAAGTCTCATTTTTGCTAGATCATTCACATTGCAATCATTGTTATGTGATTTCTTTTTTTTAGTTTTTTTATTTGATTTAGGATCTTTCTCATATAATATATCCTCAACATCTACATATATTGTTTTTAATGATTCCAGCATATATGTCTCGGCGCATTCATTTCCTTCTACTTTATTAATTAGTTGGTAAGCAAACTTATGAGTGTGTGACCGAAAAAGGATTCCATTGGAAGTTTTTGCCAGACATTTGAGAGTCTTTCATACATTTGTATCCAAAACTATTATAGATATTTTTTTTGCCTTAGCTGATCATCTCAATAACAAATATTTCTCGGGAATCTTTATTAAATTTACCGCATTAAGAACGCGTAGAGAGTGAGCGCAAAGCAACCTCATCATTTCAAATTTCTTGCAACTGCAAGTGATCTCGCAATTAACCCTGTTAAATGTAATAATTCAGACTCTACCTGTCTCTCGATTATCCAAATTCCTAACATAGAATTCAGATGGACTATCAACTGAGAAATCAACAGTTAATCCACATAGCCCATGCAGTAACTCTTCCTCAAACATGGAGTAGAGCTTCCGGGTTTAATATGTAGCAGTTTGCCTCAACACTGAGCTTGTTTTAACCGCTGATGTAATAACATTCTGAGAGTTTTTGAAGTTTTCATCCTTCTCGTTCCTTCTCCAAGATTTCATAATATTTTCAAGAACCAGAAAGCAATCAGTGAGAGAACTAGTGGGGTTAGATATACCATGACATACATTATTTGTGGACTCACTTCTATGCATAGATAATATTCTCATTCCGAATATTTCTTTATTGAATGTTGTTGATCATTTATGTCTTATATGGTACAATGAATTTAGCCACACATTGTTGTGTAGGTTTCCTCGCTCAATCATTATAGCTCAAGTATCTTCAAACTCTTCTTCGGAATCAGTCACACCGCAATGAACTTTCGACGAGAATTTCTTATAGATATGCCATTGGAATAATCTATGTCTTGTGAATGGAAGACAATCTGCAATAGCTCTTGACATCGCTTGATCCTGATCTGTAAATATTGTAATTGGATGTTTATCATCCATTATACGAATGAAGGTTTTGAATAACCACTTGAACGATTCTATCGTCTCTTCAGATAAAAAACCAACTCTGAATAGAACGTTTTGCCGATGGTGGTTAATCCCAACGAATGGAGCAGAACATAAATTATACTTATTCAAATAGTAGCTAGTGTCGAAAATGATGACATCTTCAAAACAATCATAATCTAGTCTGCAAGACCCGTCACTCCAGAAAAAGCTTGTAAGTCTACTCTCGTCATCACTTTGGAAATCCCATGCAAACATGTTATCCTCAGTTTGTCGCTCCATGAATAATTTTAAGAGAGAGTTGGCATCACCATGTTAAATTCTACTTCTTCTTTCCCTTTGAATAAAGTTGTAGGTATCTTGCCTCGTACACTCCAAGTTTTCAACTCCCCAACCTCTGTAGCAAGAAAATTAAATGTGTTTGCTGCTCTAATCTCTGAACCTGTCATTGATCTCAGCAAATCTGCATTTAACTCGCTAATCTTCCAACTAAAACGTACGGTGCTTATCACCGGATTCCGCCAAGAGGATTCCGCCAAGGGGTGGTTATGACTTTCGATAAATTTCTTTATTGTCCAGTTGTCATCAACGTCAACAGCATAGCGAACCATTGCTTGACACCCAGTCCTTGTATCCACTTTTTTGTACTTCACCGTATTGGCAACCTGTGATTCTCTCTTACGATATACTTTTCCACAAATATAATCTTTCGACTTAATTTGTTTGGATTTAGCCCAGTAACTGTTGTGATCCTTGCGGACAATGAATCCAACATGATGTACATAAGCGCAATAGTGTTCGTAAGCTCCTACCTCCTTATGGACAATAGTATTAAGAAAACTATGAACAATTGGATCATTGCAATCATTTCTTGACCCAGGTAACTACAAATTTAAATTATACCACAGATAGTCAAATATGCAGATAAGAAGAATTTTTTTAGGTTATTCTTGGGTTATTGTTGGGTTATTATCGGGTTATTAGGTATTTCTTCAACAATAACCCGCAAATAATCCCAAAATAACATGATAATAACCCTCAAATAAGTGTAAAAGTTAATGAAAATAACCCCAATATATGCAGATAAGAAGGATTTTTTTAGGTTATTCTTGGGTTATTGTTGGCTTATTATAGGGTTATTAGGTATTTCTTCAACAATAACCCACAAATAATTCCAAAATAACATAATAATAACGCTCAAATAAGTATAAAAATAAATGAAAATAACCCTAAAATAACCTCAATATATGCAGGTAAGAAGGATTTTCTTTAGGTTATTGTTGGTTATTATCGGGTAATTAGCTATTTCTTCAACAATAAGTTCTTTAGGTTATTGTTGGTTATTATCGGGTAATTAGTTATTTCTTCAACAATAAGTCGCAAATAATCTCAAAATAACATGATAATAACCCTCAAATAGGTGTAAAAGTAAATGAATAACCCTAAAATTTATTGTTGATTTATTTTCGGTTATTGTTGGGTTATTCTCGGGTTATTGAGCATTTCTTTAAAATAACCCGATAGATAACTAAGTCCTAACCACAAAATAATTCAAAAATAAACTCACGACAATCAAACAAAAAACTGGAAAACGGATTCAATTAAGCAAGAAATCTCCGTTCCAAACGCATTGACATTGTTTTCGTAATTCATGCTCCCTATTTCTTCATTAAGAGAGAAATCTATTTCCATCAAAGCAGCAAAGTAACCGTAGAACTGCAATGACTAAACCCTAACAGAGCCAAAAAAATGCTTTTTGAAACCCTATTTTTCTACTGTAAATGACAGAATAGAAGTTTCTGAGGGGCCGAGGCGTACAAATCCAAAAAGGAGGGAAGACACCGAAAAGGCGTGATAATACAAAAAAGACGGATACTCGAAAGGCGCAAGAACATCAGGTCTGGTCGAGCTTCAGCGCGGCGTTATTTATTTATTTTTTTTATTACGTGGAAATGCAGGACCATGTTGTCGAATTTAAATGGACTGCGGACGTAGAGAACCGTCTGGTGTCCTTAGGGAAAAATTCGCATAATGGTCAATGAACCTACATCCATATATGACATATCCTTATGGCTAAGATAAGGCATTCTATGTTATGAAATAAAAAGAGAAAAGAAAATGAAAGTTATATTGAGATTAATCAAATATATTGATAGTAGGATTGAATATTTAACATTACTTTTAAGGATTTCTTTAACAAACTTACCTAAATATATGTCATATTATTCTTCAAATTCACATTACAATCATCGATAAGCGATGCACCAAACTACTCTATGATTATCTTTTAATCCTTATTTCCACTTCATAATTACCATATCGTATTGTTTTCTTATCATAAGTATTAAAATTTTATATTAGAATTATTTATCTTGGTAAGCTTTATAGCTTGCCAAATTATAATTATGATTGTTGTTAAAGGGAGAGAGAAGGATAAGATTAAGCAAGAGTGATGATCAATTTTTGAATTTATAACCCAATATTTTGATACTTAATTTTGATGTAGGATATAGAACATAAGAAGTTAATGCATACGATAAATACTTTATATTATGAATATAAACTTTGATGTTTATTATTAGTTCTATAAATGAATTAATAGAATACTTTGAAATGCTTCCATATAATTAAATTATGATAATTTATTGAACTTTTGTGAGTCAAAAATTATGATAATGTTTATGTTTGAACCCTTTAAGTGGTTGTGTTTATCATAGACTATATTATAATGGATGGAGTTCAAAAATGGGTATAGGTAAAATATTCAATTGGTTGAATCATACACCGCCCCTGATGTCTTACGCTTAATCAAGAGAGGTTGTCTTGGGCCTAACAAAAAATAAAATCAGAGTTATTGAATGTTGAGGATTAAACACAAAAGCATGACTAGATTTAGTTTCATGAAGAGTAGATTAAAATTGATATGAATATCAAACATAGATAGGTATAGTATTCATGAGTGAGCAATGGGAATTTTTTGCATTGCATATTTCATGTAATATATTATGCATAAATATGAGATATTAGAGAATTGAACACAAAGTATGATTAGATTTTGTGACATAAAAATAATAGATTAAAAGTGATATGAGTACAACAAAACATAGGTAGGTATAATCTTCCTAAGTGAGCAGTGATAAATTCTCGTATTGCATATTTCATGTATGAGTATACAACAACAACAACAACAACAACAACAACAACAAAACTTTATCCAACTAAGTGGAGTCGGCTACATGAATCCTTTTTCTCCAATGTGTCCTATTGAGCGTCCTATTTTTATTTAATTCTAATATATTAAGATCATTTTTTATACAACATGCCTAAGTCTTTTTAGTTCTACCTCTATCTTTCTTAACATAAGTCGAATCTAAAGCATCTACTCTCGCTCCACGATCATCAGATGGTGGACGTTAAATGTGACCAAACCATCTAATACAACTCTCTCTAATCTTATCCTCAAGTGGAGCTACACTAACCCTGTCATGGATACATTCATTTCGCATTTTGTCAAGCAACTCATTCACCTACGCATTCTCATCTCAGCAACATTTAACTTAGTTTTATGCTTCTCTTTTTAAAGGCCAACAATCTGCGCCACAGAGCATTGCAAGTCTCATCAACTTCTTATAAAATTTTCATCTAAGCCTAATTTTTTTTTCTATCACACAATAGGCCCACAATAGGCCCGATGCAATCCTCCACTTCAGCCGACCAACTTGAATTCTACTAATAACATCCTCATCTATATCACCATCACATTGAACAATGAATTTCATGTATGAGTATAAGAATATAAATTTTATGATATAATAACAAGTTGTTAGCATAACTGAAAGCATACATGAAGGATTCACGGCCACTCAACACAGAAATTAAGGTGCTTGAGAGTGCTGCACCAATTTGAGGAAGTAAGCTCAAAGCACAAAAATACATGTTATGTTAGAACTTGAGCCATGATGTCTCACGATACAAATGCAAACGATTAAAAAAGATGTGTAAAAGATTAAAAAATGCAATCATTTATTGGGTCTACAAAACCTATATACAAAGAACACCACCAACACATACAATACAAGTATTAGTACAAGTGTTGATATCACTATGAAGATTAACAAGTTCGTTGTTTTATTTTGGAGAGTAAAATTGCTTATGTAAATGAGGAATAAATTATATATTTGTTGAGGACTGGATTATCAAAATTAAATAAGAACTTGAATGGTTGAAGCATCCAAGTAATAGATGAGTATCTTTAGAAACCTTTGTAATGAAATTTGAGGTAGAGCATAGGTGAAGAGGCTAATATTTGGAGAATTTTGATAGCAAACATGAAGAATAATTCACTTGAGATGAGTTTGAGCATGTTTTCAAAAAAATGATTTATTTCTCCTAATATAGTACAAGCAATACAAAAGAGTTTTGTAAATCCGACCCAAAGAATGAAAATGGTGATGAGTACAACATGAAGTTTATATCATTATCCATATTAGAGGTGTAACGAGTTAAGTTCAGCTTCATTTAGTACACAAATCGAGCCGAGCTTGAGTGATAAGCTCATCCATCAAAATGCATGGTCAGGCTCTCGCAGTGATGATAACATGCCCGTAAGCCAACTTGTGAGCTCAAGCCGAACATAAAATGATCATTATCAGATTGGAGATGTAATGAGTTGAGTTGAGCTTGATTTAGTAAATGAATCAAACCGACCTCGAGTCATACCTAACTTGAGTTTGGCTTGTCCATCAAAATGCAATCTCAAGCTCTCGTAGTAATGACAACATGCGGTGAGCCACATAAAATTATCATCATAGCTCACCAAAAAAGGTATCTGAGTGATCAGTGGTATGAGAAGAAGGATAGGTGCCACGGCAACTCGCCAAATAATGCATCGACGTGACCATCGGCTGGCTAGTTGAGCTGGTTCACAATTAAACAAGCCAAGTATCAACAGGCTTGAACTCAAGCTAGTTTAATGAGTTTGAGTATGAGGTCAAGCTCAAGCTCGCAGCTTGATAAGCTCAACTCACAAGCTCGTTAACATGTTCAAGCCAACTCATGAGTCACACCCCTATTCCAGCTATGCTCTACAATTGATTACTATCTTATGTGAAAAAAGTTATAGATTCCCAAAACTAGTTAAAGATCAATTGCATGAGTATTTGATTCCACTTTGTATCAATGATTTTGACGAGTTAATGGAGAGTGCATGACTATTCTCATAGTCAATGATATAATTGCATTAAGATAAAGTTGAAAAAAATAAGAGACCAGCAGACACTAGGAATGGTCACATCAAGCAGTAAAGGTTTATTTATGAACAAAATAAAAGAAGGAAAGACAATATGTTAACTTAATTTGTAAAATTGTACTACATGTGAGAAGCCTCGTGCAAAAAAATATTTGTTGAATTCAAGTATATGCTTTCTATGTAGAAAGCTATGATGAGAATTTGCCCGATAAAATTCAGACTGATAGAAGGAAAAAATAGAGTACAATGTCAGTGAAGCATATGATTGGAAAACCTACTATCAATAAACCAGTTGTGAAGGAGTACAGATAATATCTAAAAATAATGTGAGATCAATCCCAGCACGAGTATTTGATTTAACTACTCAAGAAGCTAAGGAGTCTATGCAAGTGGTGACAAATATGATTAGTAATTCATATTTAATTGTTGAATTAATTTTTGATTTTGGAGTTTTGCAGTTTTTCTTGTCTAAGTTGCTCTTTAATAAGTTGTATATGAAGCCTGCAAATCTTACTCGTGGCTTATGTATTATATTACTTACTAGTGATAGCCTGCACACAAGTATTTTATGTTCTATAGATATTGTGATAGTCGGTAAAATTCAAGCCTGATTTGATTTTGTGATTTTTATTGAGTTTAATGTGATTTTGGGTATGAATTAGCTGGCTAAATATTATGATACCCATTGAGTGTTGGAAGAACAGAATTAGATTCAACTTGCTTGATGATAAAAAATTTTAGTTTCAATAAGAAAAAGGGGTAGTGTCGCCACTATTAGTAGGTAATGAAATAGATGAAAGTTGGTGAATTGTTATTCTTGACTAAATTAAAGTAATCAAAGATACAATAAAATATATAAGTACTATTCCCACAGTGAAAAAATATATTGGTGTTTTCTCTAAGCAACTTTTTAGTTTGTCACCAAAAAAAAGTTGATGTTTATTATATATGTTAAATATAAAACTGAGCTTATAGAATGACAACTAAGGAGATACAAGAGTTAAAGAGTCAATTATCCTAGTTGATTGAGTTCATGGAGCCTAGTACATCACCTTAGACTGCACTTGCTTTTTGTGAGTGAAAAGAAGGCACCATGACACTGTGTTGATTACAGTGAATTGAAAGAATTGATTATGAAGAGAAAGTATCATCTCCCAAAAAGTAATGATTTGCTTGGTCAATTAGAGGGAGCTTCAATATTTTTTAGAATTGAATTAAAATCTAATTATCATTAATTAGGTTGAATGACAAAGATATTAAAGATAGCATTTGGCACAAAATCTGAGAACTATGATTTTTTTTGTTATGCTTCGTGGATAAGCAAATGCCTTAGTAATATTTATGAATATGATAAATGGAATCCTTAAGCCTTGCATTGATCAATTTGTGATAATATTTATTGAGGAGACACTGGTGTACTCCAAGAATAAAGATAAGCAAGCTAACCATCTGAGAATTATTTTTGAGTTTGTTGAGGAAGCATAAACTATATGCCAAGTTTTCTAAATATGAGATTTGGCTAAGGAGTGATGCATTCTTAGAGAATAACATAATGATCCTACAAAGTTAAAAGCAGTGATAAAATGGTAGTGTGATTGAGATTCAAGATTTTCTCAGAATAGCTTACTACTACAGAAGATTTATAAGGGGTTTTCACAGATTATGTTGCATTATTAGACTGAGTCATAAGAATATTATAGTTGTTTGGAATAGTGAGTGTAAGGAAAGCTTTCTGGAACTTAAGAGATGTTTGCATCTATACTAATTTTGACAATTTCATCTAGAAGAGAGGGATTTCAGCTACACAACTATATATCTTTAAAAAGTATTGGTTGGTTTCAATATAAAGTTAAAAGCTGCTTGTCTAAGGTACCAAATATTTGATATCATGTAAGATGAATTACCTGATATAAAATTGAGCTTTACAATCCTCGTAGACCGATTTATTTTCTTGGTACCCAAACTCTTCCTCCATCACTTCACCAAGTGATCCCAAAGAAACATTTTCCAACTCTTTAGAAAGTGCATAAAGAGATTTTCCATTTTCCAAAAATATATGAGCATTTTGGTTGTGACTTTTTGCACGTGCATGTTTCTCAAATTTCAAAGAAGATACTACCTGCAATTTGTAGATACAATTCAAACAAAAGATTCATATGTTGACTTAGAACATCAATATACAGTCAAAACTCCACAAAAGTTTCAAAAGAAAGCACAGCTAAACAATCAAAAACAAAATCTTAAAAAAAGAAAGAGCTTGCGGTAGAGAAATCATAATAAAGAGTTGTGGTAAAATATTTCTGGAAAGAAACCTTGCTTCAATGACATTAAAAAAAATTTTACCTGTTCAAAGTTGCACAATGTGCAGCCACAACATATTCCCGAAGCATTCAAAAGTCCCTGAAGCTCAAACTTGCAAATATTCCAGCCAAAAAGTTTAACACCAACGTAAATAAATCCAAATATAACAATTAACAATCTGAAAAGCACATTAACTTACATTATCTTTCTTGTATTTAACAAGAGCTCCTGCAAAAACTCCAGTGGAAAGCAAGTCTGGGACGCTACAAAGCTTACTCTGCGCTGCAAATTTAGAGATCCTGTCCTCCTTAATTGGAGTTTTTGGGTTAATTTCACAGGAAACTGATGTTAATGCACCCAAATGTGAAGCCATCTGTTCCAAACTATCAGAAGCACTACATTCATTTAAGCTCCGTCTCCTTGAAGTAAATGAAGTGGACTTTCTAGCTGATCTAAGTTTTTTCTGAAAACTAAAAAAAAAAAACAATTTCAAGTTTAGTAGAAGATTATTTTTCTTGGTTCATTTACATGAAAAGCACACAATTCTTATGTATTGACATATCTCAAACCTAAACTTTCATATTTACACACATAGTACTCAAATCATTTAACATCACATCAAAAATAGCACTTTTACAATTTTTAAAAGTGAAATGCACATTTTGATGCATAGTTTAAAGCCCCAAAGTTCTATGTATGAAAATATGAAAGTTTAGTTGTGAGAGATGTAAATACATAAGAGTTGCGCGCTATGTATTTAAATTTCCCTATTTTTTAATCTCGAATTCAAGTAATAACTCACCATACTGTTGATAGAACCTGCTCAACTACACTCAATAGAGGCTCATTATTAATCAAACCAAATAACCGTCTTCTTGAATCAAACGAAGTGGATTTTCTAGCTGATCTAGGTTTCCTCTGAAGGCTATAAAACGAGGGGAAACAAAGAGATGTTTTCAAGTTCAGTAGAAGAAGAACTTTTTTTTCATCTAGTTCCATGAAATCACTCACCATTTTGTTGATGGAACTTGTTGGATTACACTCAACAGAGGCTCATTGTTAAGAAATCCAATACCAATTGGCGTCTTAGCTTTAGTTTCTGCTTGAGCAAAAACAACTAAAAATGTTCAAACGTAAGAGAAGTTCCGAGGACTGTAAGAAAATATAACATCAATTAAGAAAGCTTATGGTACCATCTTCATGAAGACTTGCTCCACTGCTAAAGCCAAAGTTATCGGATAGTTCTCTTTTGGTGACAGCTGCATCGTTCTCAAATTCAACTTCTGAACATTCCTGAACAGACAAGTGCGTGAAAAGAAAACCTTCTTAACAAAAATGAAAACAAAATATAAAAAATATGATCTTTACTTGGTTTTTCTCGGATATGCAAGGATCCGGGAGCTCCTCGCTAAAGCCAATGTCGACGAGATCGTCAACAGTGGAGAAGGCTCTATTATTCTGAAGCTTCTCCTCTAAAGAAGAAATCTCACTGCCAGACAGAAAAGGAGGAGATTCCTGGACCGCAAACCTTCGACTTCTCCTCTTGTAGAAAAACAGAAATTTCTTTCTCCTCCTAATATAAACGTTTACCATTCTCTTGCTATCAGGTCTGTCGAGGCTTACAGCAAACCAAACCAAAGAAGGATTAGCAGATGGTATGGACGGCGAACCAAATTGACGCGAAGGCTCGGCGACTGATTGAGCACGAAAGGTGGGAAGAATTTGAAAGCCAGTGGAAGCTCCGCCGAAGAAGGACCGTAAACCCCAAAGAGTTATCCTTCCGTGGTTGATACAAGCGATGGGGTGCGTTTGCGATAAATTATGGGGAAAATTTATTCCCTCCGGTCCCATTTCCACGAGTTCTTATCCAACGAAAAGATAGACACTTGGAACAGTGAGCCCCACAATTTAAAACATGGGGAAAATTTATTCCCTCCGGTCCCATTTCCACACTTTAAAAAATAAAAATCTCTTTTTTTTTTTAATGTGAAGATCGGATACTGCACGTATGATATCCATATTAAATAATTTTTTGCATTTAGGGCAGCTGTGCTAATTTTTTTCTTTTCAAAAAAAGTTATGATTTTTTTTAGGATATTTCTTTTCAAGCCGCTATAGCTGTCTCACATATGAAAAATTATTGCATACATTTATAATACGCAAAATTACATAAGGTCGCCCAATTAAAACTCATCTTATCCCAAAAAGTCTATGACAGTAGGCCCAATTTTAAAAATTTAAAAATGTTTAAAATGTATATTAATTAGGTGTCATTTTTCCATTGGAGGTCGTACCTACAGCCTCCGGATGGAGAAATCGCTCTTCACATGCACCCTTGTCATTTGGGGCATGTTTTTAGAATGTGTTTGGTAGTGCAGATTTAAAAGAATTTAAGATTGGATTTAGACCCAAACATTAAACAAAGAAAGTTAAATTCTATGTGGCCTTAGATCAAACTATTCTGTGTTTTCATTTCGTTCACCCACGTTCTGTCTCTTTTATGATGTAAATTTGAATTTAATAAATTCAATTGCGTAGATAATTTATTATGTTGTTGCTTGAACTCCATCTTCGTCACGAGCTTCATCTCTGTCACCGGATTTGTTGGATTTGATAAATCATATTTACTTATGTAGCCAAACACCATCTTTGAGACTTGGTAAAGTTTTTGAGAGTAAATTTTGTAATCGGCTAATTTTGATTATTTTGATTAAATACATAGCATTCGAAAATTTTTAATATTTATAAATTTAACATTCTCTTTCAGCATTTTTTTAGATTCCCGCTAGAAAATTTAAATACATAATAAAATCCAAATTCTTTTTTTTCAATTTTATCAAATTCTCAATGATTTAATCATAACACGTGTAAATACATTGGTTTGGTAATTAAAAAAACTTAAATTTTAATTTTATAAATATTAATATTTTAGGTGAAGAATATATAATTATCACTTCTAAAAATTATAAATGATATATTATACATTAAATATCATTTTAGATAATTTGATAATTACTTAGACTACACTTAAATATAATTATTTGTATAACTAGAACCGAGGTAATTTCATAAATTATCGAGCTGCTGCTTATATGCGTGCCCAGGGGTGTAAACGAGTCAAACTTGAGCGAGCCTAGGATCTGTTCGTGTTATTCATAAATTATCGACTTATTCAATTGTTTTGTCATTTGTGTTCGTACTCGAAATGACTCATGAATAGTCTATTTATGTTTGGCTCAATATGTCCGAACTACGTTTGAAATTTGCTCTGTCACAAAATTGAAAAAAATTAATCCTTCTCAATTTGGGATTAAACAAAAAAAAGGCATTTCAGACAGGTTGACAAAAAAATAAAATATTCGACGAAAGCAAGACTGTGAGACAGGCCGCATCTTATGCATATACAGAGGGGAAGAGGAGGTGAAAGGGAAGGGTGGGATTTCTGAAAATTTGGTCATTTTCCTACATTCTGCCCAATTCTTATGTATTTGCATATCTAACACCTAAATAAATAAAGCACACCGAAAAAGTGAGATTTGTGAAAATTTTATGAGCATTTACATGTTAGTTACATATCTAACATCAAACTTTTATTTTTTTTCTACAAACTAAATGTTTTATATCATATCAAAGATAATATTATTTTAACTTTTAAGTATTATTTGTTTTTTTATTTAAATAATTCGACCCAATACGAGTCGAACACGGCTGAGCAAAAGTTTGTATGTGTCGGCCCGTTCATAAATCGAGCTCAAAAATTTTATTTTT